TTCAAAGATAAAAATAATACACACACACACCTATTGCTCAGCATGAATAGAATATTCAAATATATTTTAAATGTATATATAGATACATTTAAATGCAAAAATAATTTTTTAATGGTCACAAATAAAATATTTTCATCCAACTGCATGATCATTTTTTTATTCATTCATGTCACAGTATCATGATGAGCTGTTTAGTTACATATGGACCAAAACATACCATGTTTATTATTTTTACAAAAAAAATTAAATGGCATATTTTGGTCCACCTGAGATTTAGCAGGTTATGATAACAGCTAATAAGTTAAATAGCACAAGATGCAACCACAAGGACCAGCCAAGTCTAGATCCAGCTCATGGGATCTTGCCTTTGTCAGTCATGTAGAAATATGGTGTCAAAATTTTGACATTTCCATTAAATAGAGATGGTAATGTTTGAAATATTGTTAAAGTGATTTTGCAGACTGATCAGTATCATACACGACATACACGTAGGAGACAATTCATAAATATATCTAACTCTAGATTAACAACAGTCTGAGGACTGACCAGAAACCACTGAAAATAAATGCATTATAAAGGAAGAAAAATACATGCTTATAATAAAAATAATAATTCTAAAAACTTTTACATTTAAAATTAATAAATAAAAATGATAAATAAATGGATTTCTTCACTGTTCATAAACATATTTAACACTACATTAACAGTGTAAGGATTTGCCAAAAGCCATTTAAAATAAATGCTTTATAAAGACAGAACAAAACAAGTGAACAATACTACTACTACTAATACTAATGATATCCAATTTTTTATATATATATATATATATATATATATAAATATTAATTTATTTTAAATATTAATAATTTTTTGTTTATTTAATCATCACCATGTTTAACACTACAAAGAAACATTTATACCATACGCTAGGAAGATATGACCCTCGGTTATGCCACGACCACTTGACGTCTCTATTCAGAGAGCAGTGTTGTAAATGATTACACACAATTAGCACTTAATTAATAAGGCTGAAACAAAGAGACAGCTCCCCTGGCGCATTTTTTCAGCTTGAGGATAACACAGCCTTACTGCTGTTGACAATATGCCATCTGTTTCCAAATCCGAGCCATGGAAGCTAGCCTTCCTTGCCCTGTCAAGCATTTAGTGTAAGTGTTTTAGCATTATGCTAATGAAGCTTTTGAAAGTGTGTGTTCATTTAGCTTGTTTTTAAGGCCCTTTCAGATCTTTTGTCTCAGTGTGGGCACTGTTAATCCATCTTAAAACCTCTTTTTAATCTCTTTCATTAGTGGAGATAACCGCAGAATGCCACCTTCGTGGCTTTTGGCTTTGATTGTGGGTTAGTCATATGAAGAAAACAAAAATGCCAGTAATATTAATAGCCTTGGACTGCAATCAGAGGGCTCTGGGGACTTTTGCATTTTATTGCAGAAATAATTTCACATGTTCTAGAACAGATTAAAAAAAAATTAATCTGGATATTAAGAACATTATATCCTAAAGTTTAGGGTCAGAGCTGGTACAGACAGGAAGAAATCCACAGAAATTAGAAATGGATTTGATTAGGGCAAACTGTAGATTTAAGAACTATAAAGG